CCCTGGAATGTCGTATCAACTGGGAGATATATACTCCGTATGCAGGCGCACCTGGAATTTTGCTACATAGAAATGGAAAGTTCACAATTGAGAAGCTGAAATCATCTCTTTTGTTGTAAAGTTTTCTTGTAAACCGACCCTCACTGTCAATTTCTAGACGTAAGTCAAGATATGACGCAGGCTTAACTGTATCTGTTGTATCCTTTATCCCAAGTTCGATGGGATAGATGCGTTCAACACAGTCACCAAATTTTGAATTATTTAGTGGGAGAACACCATCTATACGGCGGAAAGAAAAGTGAAAGGATACTGCTAACTTCTTTTTTGTCTCTTCCTAAAATGTTCATGTATGAAGTCAGCCTCGTATAAATAAAGGAACAAGTCGGTAAGAAGAGGGGCACAGTAGGTTCCCATGGGAATGCCGATAGTTTGTTGAAAAACACGTCCTCCAAACGTAACAAATATGTTGTCAATCAAGAAATCAAGCATCTTGATAATGTCATTTTCAGAGAACTTTTTGTTGGAATCAGAATGATTTTTTACAAAGTAGAATTTATTCCTCCCTCAGACAAGATACTTGTATCTACGTTGCCCATTCCTTTTTATGAATCAAAGCAGGACCAACTCTTTCAATTTGTCTTTTAGTTTGGAATGGGGAATACTTGTGTAAAGTGTAGAAAAGTCAAATGTTTTAATACTATTGCAAAATAAAAGAGCCTTAGATTGTATGTACTCTAAAAGTTCTTTGGAATTTTTTGTTATCCACATCTGATGCACGCTACCTCTAGAATAGGTAGTTGCACAATAACGTTGAAGTCCGGCTTTAATTGCCGATAAAATTGATGTTAATAATTTAAAAACGGGTTTCGTGGAGCACTTCGAAGACCCAGCAATATACCGTTGATTGTAAGGACACCTATGTAGTTTTGGTGTCCAATACAGTGATGAAAGATCCAGTTCTTCATCTTTGGTTGAAATTGCAAAGGAAAATAGAACAGACCTATGATTATCTATGATTTCCTCTTTAGCAAGTGTCGTGGGGGTATATGTTGGGTTTCTGAGTTAATTGTCAATACTTTTTATGTAATGTGATTTGCACACAAACACGATGCTGTTTGGGATTTTATCTGCGGGGACAACAACATATTTGTCATGGCGGTAGGACAAGTGTTTTGCAACATATGGATCTTTAAAGATTGATGTAGCATGGGTATTAATAGACCCATTCAGTTTCTTAATTCTGATTTGTATCAACAACCTCACAGCTTTAACAAATCTCGTGAATCCAAACCGCTTTTCTAGAGTTCCCTACTATTCAAAACCAAATATGTATATGACCTGTTAAAGGAACCATAGTTTTTAAATAATGTATCAATCTGTCAACGGAAAATTTCTATGAATTAAATCAGTACCAAAGCAGTCGAAGAGTAACAGTCTACTATCGACCAAGTCTCAATAAATGAAAACCATATATGACATTATGTTATGAGTCCGAACTGCTCTTTTATATTAGCCTTTATCAGGAACACTCAGAACCCCAAAACACATTAATAGCCAAGTACGTTTTTTTTCCCTGAAAATGTTAAGATTCGTGTTATCAAATGGAGCCAAACGTATTTAAGGTCACCTTTTCCTGAGGGAGTTGTAATCTTAGTAAATAGATATTGTAACAAGGACCTTTCTCACTTGCATATGATGCACTTTTATTAATAGATTCCTTCATTCATACAATTGTATGAATTGTAAGCAATATGTGCTTGATAAATGACAATTGCCGAACAACATACAGCCCTAATATTATAATGATCGCATCTATAAGCCTATGGTATCTAAAACAGAATCTTTTTGCTCCAAGTGGACAATTTTTACATTTTGAAATTTCTGAGACATGAAACGGCATGCTTTAGAGGGCCCAAGTCTCTCATTTATATACTGTATACAACTGATTTGATTTCATGCAGGTATTACTATGTGGATACATAAAGTTAAATATCATTTTTTTAAGAACACGTACTTAGTGTTCCAATATCTGAATAATATATTCCTTAAATACACATTGTAAATTTAATTTCAACTCAAATGATTCAAAGTTGCGATTAATTATTTTAACAGATACCACAAAAAATACATTATCAATAATTAGTAAGTATTAGAAAATGACTGATTATGAATTAACCGACTTGATTAAATCAAGTAACCCTAATATGACAGTTGTGTGAATTTCACCCAAATAAAAAAAAACAAAAAAAAAACATGACAACACGAGCAGAGAAATGCTCAATTCAGTACTGTTCATACATTTTTCCTTGCAGTGAAAACCTTTTTAAACAATTTAGTATGTTGTTGTTTTGTACGGTTTAATTGTCGCTATTAAACATTCTTAATATATCTTAATTTACTACAAGCGAAATGCTTCCATAATCCACCTGATTGGGGCATATTTCTAGAAGAATTGTGTGTTTGATGATAAAAGCATAACACTTTTGCACAGTTATAGATATGTATTCGGTTGTCAATTTTAGCTATGGACCAACTCTAAAAAAAACTCAGTATGACGACCATTTTCAAGATGTCTGAACATCAGTCTAAATTTCACAACCATATATAAACGAAAGCAAATATAACTCAATCCAAATCGTTTGAAAGCATATAAAATGTAATCCAACATTTCTAGTAAGTCATTTTAGACATTATTTTTTTTCAAAATGGTGGAAAATTCAAAAATGGCCGCCAAAAAGTGAAAAAAAAACTGAATTTGCTGATATTTATTTCTTCTATTGAATTGCATTTCAGTCTAGGGTTGTGTTTCAATGATACATGCATACAAGACAATTTAATCGAGGGACGCCATCAAAATTTGTTTGACTGTTAAAACCAACTGAGTCATAAGCCTCTTTTTTTTTCAATTGTGATGACATCAATTTGATAAAAAACTACAGCTAATCACCGAATGTCTTCTTGCAATGAATAACATCTCGAGTGCAACCGTTAGTTAGTAACTACTTAACCTTCCGGAACAACTGCGTTAACCATAGTTTTAATGTAAAGGGACTCGTGTTGTTTATGCTTTCAATGTTTTGTTGTTCGTTCGTTCAATGTTGTGTTATTTGCTCTTTTATTTTTCAATATCGGAGTTGTCAAACAGTGAACATATTGTTTATCCGTTGCATGGAAAACCTTATGTCATTCAAAACATTTAAATTCGGCTGTCCGATTGCCCGGGACAAGTGAAAGTCACCAACGGGCAAGTAAAAGCTGAAGTGAACATGCTCAAATGGCAGGTTAAAATTGAGAGTTAAAAACGCCACAAAACACCGAATCTAGTCTTTATTAATTACCTTTTACTCAATACATCTTACTATCAATCAGCCCAAACTACATCGACAAATTTGTGTCTTAGTATTTTCCGTTTCTAATTATAGAAATGTTAAAATATTGGCCGAACATTCTTTGATGAACCTACTTGTTTTAGTTAAACTATCCGATAGATGATAATTAATGATGACAATTCTAAATCTCCTTAATATCGTCAATTTGCAAAAAAAAGTGAAATAACAGAAGATTAGAATATATATTTAAAGACATTTACCCGTAATATTTATCTATGAACTTTCTCAACGTTCAGCAGTATTCTATGTAAGGAAAGGGTTTATGTGGGTGAAAAAATACCTGCATCAGTGTCGATCCCAGATTAAACACAGGATCACATAAAACAAGTTTTATTCTCCCATTGTTTTTATTGGATAGAGAGCAAATAACGTTCTAAAAATAATATTCCGGAGCCCCTGTGATTTAAAGTGGCAATACAGCTAATTCTGGTTGAGTTTCTTTTGCGAGTTACAGAATAACAGAAGGCTGACAACGATGATACCAAACAATTTAAGAGTAATTCTCTGTAATCACCAAAATATTTCGGCACGCACTAAAAAATATTTGTTTTAAACTTTATTAGTTCAATAGAGCCACATAAGCTTAACAAAAAATATTATTACACTTAGCCCCATATGTTTACCGTTTCCTTGGTAACAGGACTTAAAGTGGCAAGAAAGAGGGAAAATGCAGTGTTTACAAATTATGATCAATTATGTCTAATAAAAAGAAAATAATATAGATATTCAGACATTTAAAACTTTTTTCAGTTTAAAAAAAACAAACAAAAATTGTGTTCAACAGTAAACTTTCTTAACAAAAAATCTATATAGCTAAAATAGGGTAAAAAGTGCAATAAAAGGGAGGTTTTAGAGCCTATTTTGATCAGGTGTTGTAAAAAAATGCAGCCATTTCTTATATTGTTGATTATATGAATAGAGAGAATGGATTAAGGTTATACAAGAAAAGAAAAAAAATCAGTGGGCAAACTTGACTGTGTTGAAATTAATTGACCCTTAAAAGTTGAGTTGTCCTGTATTTACCTAATCAAATTACCTCCCTTTACGGAGTTCTCTTGTAGAGAAACAAATTAAAAACAGGAGGGAAAATGTAAACAAATACAGACAACAATGTTATTTTGCGAATTTCTTCATGTTTTATATTCAAGCATAATGGGAAATGGATAAATTTTTCACAGTGATGTTAGCCTACACGTATATATATGGTTAAGTTGGTGTGATTTGCTCATATTTTGAAAATATTGTCAGAACAATGGAACTGTGTCTGTACTAAGACAGTGTATTTTATAGTTTATTTTGCTTACCGTAACTAACTTTTTTAATGTATTTATTTATATAATCTTCGAATAATTGTTATAAAATGTGTAGCATAAAAGATTTCGTAGGCAATTGTGACAACTGCAGTGACGACAGGTATTTTTGAAAATGCTTCCATTGGAAAAAGAGACATGTATAAATTTTTGTCAGAAATTTCTTTACTTAAAACTGACATTACATTGTACGTCACAACTGAGGATCTGTGATATTCATAGAAATATTATCATCGAAACAACTAACAAGAGATATAGAAGGGAAAATTGTGGTGTGCCTTCAGTAAATGTCATTTTGAAATATAATACTACAAAAGCAGTGGATCGACATGTTACACCCGAGATGTTTCAAAGAATTGTTACAAAGACAGGCATTTTCATTCCTATTGGAACATGTAAGTAGATACTATTTACCTAATACCATTTTTCTTTAAAAAAGATACAGTGATAAACCTCTTATAAAAAAGAAATCAAATGCAGCTGACAGGTACCCCCCCCCCCCCCCCCAAAAAAAAAAAAAAACAACAAAAAAAATAACAAAAAAAAACCTTAGGGTTAATTTTATCTACCATTTGGCTATGAACCTTTAGCTTATTGTTTTTAGCATGTGACAGCCATATGAACTTCTTTAATACCCCTTTTTTAAACTATAAAACATAAAATTACGTGAAGTTCTTTGAATCTTGTTTTTGAGAAACAAAAATTATAACATGAATGCTGTTTCATGTTTCCTTTCCTTTACCAGATTTGTAAGGTTTTGTACATGATAATCACATCATTTCATACCGGTCCTTATGAAATAAAAAATGTTGCAGCAACAATGCTGCAATGTTGCGTCTGCTGATCAGGTTGCCAGAAAATTGACGCCGGATAAGTGCTGAATGATGCCGCTAGCATCATTCTGGCTACATTGCAGCGCTATTTCCTTTCATGACAAAAAGCGCCACAATGTTGCCATAAAGCACACATATAATTTTCTCATTCTTAATCTACTAAAATGATGCCAGAATAGAGCCAGAACATTGATAATATCATTGATGATGTCATCAGTGTTTGAGCTTTTTACTGTGCCAGTGTGGTCATGGTGGTGTGTTAGAAGTGGACCATATGTTGCTTGAGCTTATGGTTTTAGTGAAGAATTTGGTGTTCTGTTATTGTGAAGACTTGTATGTAAACTTAGATTAACATGATTAATTAAATGCATTATATAAAACACGGTCGCGAAACACGTGACTTCGTCGTGATCAGTTTCACGGAAAAATGGCGCCCGTCAAATTATTATAGTTCGCCTGGATGTAAACTTAAAGCGCAAGTATTTACATATCATCGTGTTCACACATAGGACCCCCCTCATCATATGCGTATTTTTCGTGCTAATATTTTGATGCATATAAAGTTACATTTCACTGTTGGTTTCATAGAGAACATTCACAAACTATTTCAGACCTGCTGAAGATTGTTTGGGATTGTGTACACGATATGACCGTAAAATCACTGTGAATCCATTTGTGTGTCTTATTTTCACCAATCGTGTACAGAAACTTACCCAAATTTACTTATTCATTCATATAAACTAGCATCGATGTATATTTTTGACATTATTGCGAACTGAACGCAATAATATTTTTTTTGTCAATAAATGATCAGTGTACACGTAAGAGTTTAAGTGATCAGTTCCACGGTTTAATTCTGAATCAGTATGATAAGATCACATTAAGGTTCATCTGGGAAAGTGGCGGAAATCCAGTTGAAATTAAACAAGAAATTAAACTCTTTGCCAGAGCAGAGTAGGTAAAAAAGCTAAATTGGTATATTTAAATTGTTTACATCTGTTTCTATAGGTTTTAAAAGTTTAATAAAGGAACATATAACTTTTACTTTATGGAGCTTCGAGATATGTGGAAACTTTTAAATTATAGGCAAATTTTCATTAAACAATCTAGTGTAGCCGGTTCAATTCAAAGTGGATCTTTTTCGTGCATAAGTATAAATTCCGCCGAAAAAAAATCCAAAGAAAGATATAATAGATGTATCTTTCTTAAACATTAATTTGCATCTCTGCTCCCAAAGATATTTTTTTTTTGGGGGGGGGGGGGGGGGGAATCCTAAAAATGGCCAATAATTGCATCAAAAAGAAAAAGGCAAGTGCACCTTTGAATGTTCGGGCGTGTTTGAGTTGAGAATTCTGTCTTGAAACGTATAAAACAAAAAAATTTGCTACATCATCTCGCTTCAGATTCTATTATTTTTATATGATTACGCTGCAGGTTGATTTAATAACATTAAAACTTCAAAGTACTTAAAAAAGAAATATTCTGGTCAATTACCGTACTGATGAGTCATAACAGCAGAGTAGGTGTGTTCGAATAACAATTTTTTACTTAAAGTACTTGACGACAGACTTTACAACTGGATCTTTAAAATGCATAACTTCAAAAGAACTTCATTTGTTGTGTGTGTTATCTACGATTATTGTCTGTCCGTCTGTCCGGATTAGGATACATTGTTTGTTTCACTATCTTCTCCTTTGGTTTTGAAGATACAGTCAGATTTAATATTTTGTAAGATGTTCAAACACAGAGAAGGTGTGCATAGCGACAGGATTTTATTTTTATTACAAAATTTCTGGAAAAGACAGGCAGTTGGACTATTGGTTATTTGCTGTAGTACATGTAGCTGCATAAACAAATAATAGTTTGTCCTCCTTCAGTTACATCATCATACAAAGTATTAAATTTATAATTTCTTATGGTCATTTGTGTCTTACAGGCAGCGTAACAATTTGAAGTTGTATGCCAACATCACTGTCTGTCTAATCTAAAATATGTGGAACTATACTCGTGCATATGGCAGAGCAGAAAATGGGATTGGGGTATTGCCAATATCTAGTTTTCTCTGATTATAGTTCCCATTATGCGGAAAAAACAAAGCTTTCACAGCAACTCCAAAAGCATCGAGAAAAAACTGTCAGACAGCCAAAGAGTTAACCAAATAGACAATCTCAATGTTGCAACATTAGACAGGAATTTAATGAGGATATTATCAAAATCGCCATACACTGTCAAAATACGAGAGAGGGGTGAAAGATGTCAGAGGGACATTATCCTTCTCCAAAACGTGAGAAAGTACAAGGGCACACAAAGCGCTCTGACACTATTCATGTCGACCAAACAGTAATATATTCTCCTTCGCCTTAAAAGGGAATACAACACAAAAGCCAAAACGTGCACTCTGCATTCCATCAATATTACAACCACAGACATTAAATGTGATCTTGTCATACTGATTCAGAATTAAACCGTGGAACTGATCACTTAAACTCTTACCGTGTACACTGATCATTTATTGACAAAAAAAATATTATTGCGTTCAGTTCGCAATAATGTCAAAAATATACATCGATGCTAGTTTATATGAATGAATTAGTAAATTTGGGTAAGTTTCTGTACACGATTGGTGAAAATAAGACACACAAATGGATTTACAGTGATTTTACGGTCATATCGTGTACACAATCCCAAACAATCTTCAGCAGGTCTGAAATAGTTTGTGAATGTTCTCTATGAAACCAACAGTGAAATATAACTTTATATGCATCAAAATATTCGCACAAAAAATACGCATATGATGAGGGGGGGGGGGGGGGGGGGATCCTATGTGTGAACACGATGCTATGTAAATACTTACGTTTAAAGTTTACATCCAGGCGAACTATATTAATTTGACGAGCGCCATTTTTCCGTGAAACTGATCACGACGAAGTCACGTGTTTCGCGACCGTGTAAAAGTTCAATCTCTCATTTAATTAAATCAAGGAAATTGTCTTCTTCCTGATAGACCTGGAGAGCATTTTCAAAAAATCCTAATTAACAGGGACGAACTATCATCTAATGGGGCGAATTGGTACCTTCTGAGACATAAGTCATGGTTTCTCTTCCCTTTCTCAATTTAACCCTCGCTAAAATTTTACAGAGCATGCTATTATCATATGGTAAAAATCATATGTTATTTAATCTAAGTATATGATAATATATTTTATATCTTTCATGAGATATCTTATGAAGAAGTTTATAAAGATATCTCATAAACTTTAGAAGATATAAGATTTTCAAGATATCCAATTAGGAGCTAACTGTATTGAATTTGCAGATTTGGAGCCATCAATCATGGATTTGATGGTCGCAAATTGAGTTTACTAGCGACACATTAGCGGAGCCAGTAAACGGATATTTGCGACCATCAAATCATAGATTGATGGCTCCAAATCTTCAGATTGATATATACCCTGAAAATTACGACTTTATCCAATGAAATTTGACGTACGTACGTTACAACGAATGTTGCATTAGAATGAATGTTATAGGACATCTGATATAATTTATAAGATATCTTATAAAACAATTTTATAAGATCTCTTATTGTCCCCCACCGGAGGGGACATAGAAATACCGGTGTCCGTGCGTCCGTCCGTCCAAAATCAGTTTCTGGACTGTAACTTTTGAACACCTTCATATAATTTTTTCAAACTTACACAGTTGAATGTTTATTAGGTAAGGAAGATCCGTATTGATTTTGATGTTTACAGGTCAAAGGTCGAGGTCACAGATTATCAACAGTCGAGGCAAATAGGAAATACCATAATATTATGAAATTTCATAATTTTATTGATATATTGGATCAAAGTGGAGTTGTCTTTCTTAGACGCCTAGTGTCAAAATGGACATGGGAGATAACAACTTTTGTCTTAAACGACGTCGAAAGGAAGACAACTCATTATTATAAAAAGTTAACATTTAAAATATAAATTTGTATAACAATTTAGGAATTTATTAAATTGTGTTCGAACTATGGGTTTTATTATACACAAGGAGTAACTCTAGATAAATCAAACTTGACTAAAGATTATTTAAAATCTGGTGTAATTCACTAGAAAGAATCATTATATTTATAACTATTTTATCAGTCTCCGACATAGCAAATCATGCATGTGGAGGTCAATTGCGAATTTATTTACAGTTTATTTATTATGTAAACAAATTAAAGACCGTAAAATCATGCGAAATCACAGAAAAATATTTCTAAAAAAAACACTGTAAAATATGTTTGAAAATCTAACAACGGGAGATAAACAAACAATCGAATTCCTTACAAAAACTGATAACTATGACAATAATTATTACGTTCTGTCAATAGCCTGTGTACAAATAAGCATAGACATTTATGCGATTGATGCGGATCTGACATTACAACATTAACAATCTACAAAGCTGAAATGTAATTCTTTGCATCATAGCAAATTATTAATGTCCAAATGATGGACATTGGCTATCTGATAAAGAAAATAAATTCACTAAAAGCTTAAAAACAAACAGCAAAATGTCCATAATATGTTATA